AGATACCCTGTCACGAGTGTCTCTAGTACCCGTCTCCCAGGCCCCTCTGTCTCTGCAAAATCCAGCCCCAAGATCTTTTGTCCAGACTTTCTGGCTGGAAGTTCATGAGCAGATATGCGTGCACATACACAGAGAGTAGGAGCACGCTTACACAGAAAATGGTTTGAAAAATAATTTAACAAAAAGACCAGGCACAGGCCTTGGCTTGCGACTCACCTTGATCCTTCTTTTAGCCCTTCCCTCAAACATCCTATAAATACTGTACCCAAATACTCTTGTGTTCAATCCCAAAGTTGCCCGTTCCCGACATCCTATTAGAAGTCCTGTATTCCTTTACACAATGTCTCCACTTGGCTTGCATAATATTGCTGAAGGAGTTTCTCCCATTGAATTGCCTAGATGGGGTGTCCTAATTGGGACGATGTCTTAATTGCTCACCTTTGTGGCCTTGGGAGCCCCGGGCGCAGTGTCTTACCACTCAGGGTTGGGCTGTTTGGGTTCCCTGCTGTGGCGTGGTTCCTCCTGTCACTGAGGTGGTTCTTCTACCCTGCACAGCCCTTTCCCAGGTACCTTCCCACAGCAGTTTGACGAAACTGTGAATTCAAGGAGACTCCTGCAGCTCTGCCTGGAGTTGAGTGAACAACTGCTACGGTACAGAAGGTGGAGAAATGCAGCTTTTAAAATTGTGATTACAGCAGCAGCAAGAATAAAGAGAAAATGTGTAATTATGATACTACCTTTCTGGATAGAAAACCAGTATCTGCTGTGTATGTGGAATTCTGCTCTAGCTGTCTGGGTTGCAGAGCCAGGGCTGCTGCTGCTAAGCCACCAAATAAGAAAGTGAACAGGAGAGAATGGAAAAACCACTACCATGTTTGGTGTGACACATTCTCGCAATGATCAAAATTTGAGGTAGTTTGAGCCAGGTACTGATTTGGACTCTTGTATTTAGTAGTTAAATGCACCCGTTTCAGATGGTTAGTTTAATCTCAACTTGCAGCCGGTTTTGCTTCTGACATATATCCCGTGGTAGTCAGATTTACAGTTTATTTGAGATATATATATATATGTACACGTAAGGATCACGTGCTTCCTCATTGTTCTCCTTAAAATATGATGTTTAATCACTTCATTGCCTGCTTTCTCTCTCTTGAATCATCAGGAACATGAAATAATTACTCTCTATTTGTATCCTGTGCCATGGGTGACTTTTACAAGCCTGTTTCAGATTTGTACTTAAAACAGCATATCAATTTTTGTGGCATTTTCTATTCTTTTCCTTATAATTCCTAATACTGATCTTTTAACACCTCTGAAGACGAAGTCATGTTTTTCAGAGTTATCTGCAGTGATTTGAAGATCTCTACCAAGTGGAAGTGTCACAGAGCAGCGGGATTGGCTAGCGCAGAATGAAAATAGCTGACTTGGAGTTTATCCTCTCTGTTTTTTCTCCTCTTTGTGGTGTTTTGCATTACTGGCACTCATCTGAGCTCTCCATCCCTGGGTTCAGTGCCCGGAACTTCCAGAACCTCCTGGTCAGCTCTATTTCTGACTGTTCTGGGTGATAAAACTATCTGAGGTATGTCCTTGGTGTCGTGTGTGTGATGAGGGAGGGTTCTAATAATGGTACAGGGGTAATAATAGTGCAGTAAATACAGAGATACTGGTGATTTACCGTAACCCTCCTGCTGGACTTCTATCTGAATGGATTCTGTTTGTAGATATTGGGGTTTCTTCCCCACTCCCTTATTTTGCTGTGCTGTTTCTGTTTCCCTTTGGGAATTAGGCATGGGGAATTTGTCACCTCTTCCTACTCCCATAACTCAGCTCTGTGACACTGAACTCTCCTTGGCTCCACTGGATTGCTTGTTTGTGGGGAAGCACCAGATGAAACCAAGTGTTTGTCCCTTTGGGCTCCCAGGAGACAGCTGATGTATTCATTTCTGTTATCCATTACATGGACGGGAATAATCTCTTTGCTTCAGCATACAGTTTCATTCTGTAGGGATATTCTAATTATTGTGGGGTGTTTTTCCAATTTTTATGCTTTTTTTTTTCTTTATTGTAATTCATTGCTGTCACTTGTGGCTTAGGCTGTATTTCTAAAATTGACAGATCATGTGAACTGCAGAACATCTCTCCAAAAGTCAGTGTTCTTTCAGTGATAGATATCCAGATGTTTGAGAGCTTTGCAAAAAAGATGCATTTGAGAATTGGAATAACCTGTCGAAGGGAAATACATCTTCTAGACTTTTTTCCCATAGAGTTAAGTTATGCCTTAAGTAACAGCATTTAAATCTCTCTCCCCCACTTCCCTTTAACTACTTAAATTTACTTGAAATTCTTCTTGAGTTTCCTTATGTCTGTGTATATGGACAAAGAGCGGCATTAGTATTTGTGCTGTAAGTTTTTTTTGTGGCTGTGGGACTGCTTCCTCTGTTGTACTTCAGAGGTTCACGCTAAACCAAATTCAGTTAACTTCTTCCTTCATGGTTTAAAAGCTGGCAAGTCTATATGGCCTTTCTGGAAAAGAAAGGCTTCAGAGGAATATGTTATCTCCAGCAACATGGGGTGTTTTATTGGAGCCAGTCCAGTCTTGTCACTTCATCAGCATAGTTCATGGGCAGCTTCTTGTCTTTGGTTTGGGTCATAAAACACCACTGAAAATTAATCAAGTTAAAACAGTCAGTCTTAAATTACTTGACAGAGCTTGCAGGAGGCTAGGGCAAAGCGAGGAGACAACCTATGTCATCTCCATCCTGTGCTGATGCCCAGGTCATGAATGCTCTTTGGGGCAAGAACAGCATTTCTGTCATCTCTTCAGGGCATGGCCATACCAGATGTGGGACCTTGCTGGTGGGACCTTGCTGGTTGCTCTCCTTGTCCTTCAGGGCAAGGCATGGAGGGCAGTGTTTTGAACGTGCCATTTTTATTTCCTCTTGCTCAGTCAGGTTTGCGGAGAAGTTGAAATTTATATTCCTACAACAACCTCTGGTTTTGCTCCTAAATGGAGCAGCCAAGCTTGCAACCATCCATTGTTCACCAGTTGCTGCTTGGGGGCAATGGCCAGCCATGGCCTTTGGGAAGGCAGAGGCCAAGCGCCAGAGCATGCTTTGGTGGGGGTTTAGGATCCCACTTTGCTGAGCATGGGGAGGGGTTTGGAACAGTGATTGGGCAACCTGAACAAAGGAGGAATTTGCTGTCACCTTTCCAGTTGTCTGTCTGCATTTTTCCCCTTTTACTCTTCTGCTCAAGCTGTTGAAACTCCTCAAATGAGAATTGCCGTCAGTGATGTCAGATGGGTTTGGTGTCTTGAGTCATATCTGGTGCCCCAGAATATTGCTTATGAGTCATGAAAGTTACTTATGTTTGATAAACTTGCCTAGAAGTGGGAGCAGGTATGATAAATCCACATTCACCGGCGTATGATCTTGAGTCGTTGTCAGTACTTTTGAACTTAATCCAGTAAAGCCAGAAGGTCTTTGAATAGGCAGCAGATATGCTGAAGGAAGAGAACACAGAGAGAAGGATGGGCACCGGGGGTCAGCAATCATGGCTTTCATCTTGCCCATGCAGTGCCGACATGGACCTGCCTTTCTTTTGGCTGGGGCTTGGCATAATTTCTGCTGTTTGAAGAACATAACATTTTTTTGAAGATCATATATAAAATTATATCACTCTCAGGTTATTTATATATAAAATAAATACAGTAACTAAAAATGCGTAACTTCTTGACATAAAATATTAATTTTTATTATTAAAAGATGTTTTACATGTTTTTCTTGTTTTCAGATCAAGTTTTGTCATGAACATTCAAGAATTTTTTTCTTGTTTCCTTGAAGCCAAGCTTTGATGAAAAACTTTATAGAACCCTCCACAACATGAGAATATAAAGGTTTTGAAAATAACTTATTTCTTTTCCTTTCCTCCATTTTAATGTCTTTTTTTTTTTTTAAATTCTCTTTATTCTTTTTTCTTTTTTCTTTTTTTTTGGTTGGGGTTTTTTTAATTTTTTTTTTTTTTTTTTTTAAGTTAAAGCCTTTTGGCATTCAACTTTATTTAATTGTGCTAGGCATTCTTATACTGCTGTCATCTCTAAGCTATTTCTTACACTAAAAATCTCAAGGAGTAAATGTTCTGTCCTTAGTTATCTTCATCCTTTCAGCTTTCTTTAATGATGAAACGTAACAGGCCTGGCCTGGTATTTAGATGTCGGTATCAGCGCGTGTGTGTGTGTATATATCAAATCAAGTTCTTACAATAGATATGATGAATGTCTCCTTAAATCAAATCTCAGACCTTTCACCCTTCAGTTCTGCAGGAGGTGAGGGGTGCGAAGGGAACGGGACTGTTCATGCTAAGCTGCTCCTTTCTTGTGATTGTTTTCAGTAGTTATTTTCTGTAACTCAGGCTGTCTTTATGTAATTATGGCTTATATTCTTCATTGCTACCTATAGTGTAGTGTTTAATTCATTTAAGTTTTGTGGATGGCAGAATATTTGGGTCAGTTCTCATTAGCATAACATTGAGTAAATATGATCGTGTTAAAAGTGGCTGCCAAGGGGAAAGGCTTTCTGAGGAAGCCCTCATGGCCTTCAGAAAATCCTCCAGAAAGTTGTGCCTGAGTTTTTGAGACCTTTTTTGTATCCCTTTCGTTGGGATTGGAGGGTTTTGGTTTTTTTGGTTATTTAACTAAGGATATCACAAAACAGAAAAATCCAGTGTATTGTTGCCAAAAGGCAGCTTTTACCACAAAACATCCTTTGTGTAAAAGAATTTTTCTCTCAAATATGCCTAGGCGTTGCTGCTTACGTGGCCCACAGTGTCTTCACAGTTGGGTATGTCCCATTCCTGAAATACATGTGCACAATCCTGCCCTGGAATGCTCATTTAATTAAAAGTTATTGAGCAAAGTTCCCAATCCTCAAGCGAAGGCTGCATGGTAATAGTCTGGTCTTGCTGCCTTACAGCTCACTCCTGTCTCCATCCTCCCTGCACAGGTGAACCAGCGCAATGTCCCCGGCATCGATAGTGCCTACCTGGCCATGGATACCGAGGAGGGGGTGGAAGTTGTGTGGAACGAGGTTCAGTTCTCCGAGCGGAAGAACTTCAAGCTTCAAGAAGTAAGTTGATGCGTTTCCCGACAACACACAGGGAACAATACAATGTGTGAGGCTGGGATTATAGATGTTGATGACCTTTCCTGTGGATTACTGGCTGGATTTAGAGTGCTGTGCTGCTCAAATGAGCAAATTCAGCTTAAGTCTGGTCCGTGCAGAAAAATGTGAGCTGCTGTTGTGCTATTTCCATGGGCTCTTGTGTTGATTTTGGTGATCAAACCATGCTCAGCTGAGGTGCGGTGTAGGATGAAATCAGATGCTGTTTGTTCTTAGCACAGGAACTTGAAGTTGTTAAGGGGACCAAGACCTGAGAAGAAAGGATGACGTGTGCTGATGTGGTCTCTGATGTAACTTGTCTCTGTCTTTCTGATGTTAAGGAAAAAGTTAAAGCGGTGTTTGACAACTTGATTCAGCTGGAACATCTGAACATTGTGAAGTTTCACAAGTACTGGGCTGATGTGAAGGAGAACAAGGCCAGGGTAAGTAAAGCTCAGTGTTTGGTTTTCTCACTGTATTTCCTGTAGGTACTTAGAGAAGCAGAGGGTAATGTCTCGTACTGCCCCTACAGGTGATCTTCATCACGGAATATATGTCTTCAGGGAGCTTGAAACAGTTCCTGAAGAAGACAAAGAAAAACCACAAAACGATGAACGAAAAGGTAACTCTTTGGTGTATGCCTGTGTTCACATGGTGCCATCAGCCCCTGCAGAGCTCCTTCGGCAGAGGATCCTGATGAGAAGGCAACCTGGTGATAACGTGTGGCTGCAACTCCTTTCCATTACTGCGAACTAGTTCGGTTGCAGGTTCTCTTGGGCAGCAGTTCTGTGCTGTCTGCTTTATTTTCAGCAGTTCTGCATCTTTGTATATACAGTGTGACAGGCATATTCCTTTCTGTGTGTGCAGACAGGAAAAGGCGTTTGAGGACTTAGGAGGGGACAACTGAGCATGAGAGTACTGATCCTCTAAGCTTTTGCTTCCTACATACCTGTACTGGGCAAAAGCTCAGATGCCACAGAATGGGGCATATATTCCTTCATATGAATGGGCTGTGAATTGCAGAACTATGGTGTAGTTCCTCTTCCTGGAATGATTTTTATCCTTCTTGCTCCTGTGTCTGTAGGCCTGGAAGCGATGGTGTACCCAGATCCTCTCTGCTCTCAGGTACGTGAGTTACGGATTTTGGGGTCTGGCCATCTGTTTAAGTGTAGCCTCTCTTGTGCTAGAATACGAAAAGCTGTAAACGTACATGCTGCCAAATGGTAACAAACTTCAGGGAATGGAGCCTGGAGAGTGCTTTCAGCCACTCAGCCTGATTCTTTTCCAGTTGTGGCCTGCAGAGTGTCAGCTGCACTTCTGTAACAATCCCAGGGTCTTCAGTTAGACACTAGTGAAGGCTTTAGAACAGAGAACCATGTGCAATGGAGGTTCTAGATCCCAACAGCTGCAACTGATAGTGAGTATGGGAGCTGAGCATTAGGGGGCTCTTCAGAGTATCCAACTTTATAACCATGGCCAAGAGGATGTTGCAAAGAAGTCTCAGAGAAATCAAATTCCGCATGAGAGGAGTAAGAAAACCTGTCTTAGTCTCAGCAGGCTGTGGCTCGGTAGCATGCAGTGGCTTCATAATTATCCTGGTGTGATATTGTTAAAAGTGTATGTGGTTCTATACATCTCTTGATGATGCACATCTTCTGAAGCCATCTTAGTGTAACCCAGATGAATAGAATGTGGGGGTTTTGTTTTGATTTTAAGACTCCTCTACCTGAGCCAGAGTTGGTATGTAGCTAATAACAGCCTGGGAAAAACAATAACCCTGATGTCAGAGCGAGAGTCTTGCTCCACAGAGAAAATTCTGCGGCGCTTGGCTAAATGTAGCTGTTGATAAATAGCTGAGGTTCTAATAAGCTTTTGGGAGCTGACAGTCCTTATTTGTGCAGGCTGCTAATGTGAAACCAAGCAGAGTGAGGCACAAAGCCAGGTGTCCTCAAAGCACTGACCAGCTTTATTTGTGCCTGCTGGAAAACATGACCAGTCGTGTTGGTACAGCACTGAGTGCCTTTTTGCTGCCCTGTGAACGGGGCCAGAATAAGCCTCTGATCTTTTTGGTATAAAACCAGAATGCTTTCTGCACCCACCTGGCAGTGCTGGGATGGATGAAATGGTTTCTTTAACCCTGGTACTCTGAGTTTCTTGGGAACTGATCAGAGAAAGCTTTCTTTTTTCCCCATGTTCCGGACGTTGTTCATTAGAGACAGTTGCTTAATTTTTGTGACTCTCCTAGCCTAGAGGCTGATGTACAGTCATTTAATTGCACCCCCCTGCTACTGTAAATCCCTGGCACGTGCCCTTTGCCCTCCCATTCTCTTCTGGTGTTGCTTGGGGCAGGGAAGGGATGGAGGGAGGGATTCCTGGCTCAGCCTCGGCTGTGTCCTAACCAGAGCTCTGTTCTGCATCCCCAGCTACCTCCACTCCTGTGATCCCCCCATCATCCATGGAAACCTGACTTGTGACACCATCTTCATTCAGCACAACGGACTGATCAAAATCGGGTCAGGTAAGACTTGTTGGAGGTGACCTTTGCCTATGAGACAGACTGCTCAAACAGAAAAAGGCATCTAATCTTTTCAGGGTTATCTGGCATGATGCTTGTGTATGTACTTGTGTTCCTCCACCACCGCATCAGTTGTGCCAGCAATTGATAGCAGAATTCACTTCTGGTTGGACCGGGTGCACAGGAAGGACTAACGCTAGTTACTGTTTCCCTTGTTAGCCCCTTCTTCAGTTCTTGATCTCAGGCTAGTGACCCAAGACATGGCGCTGAAGTTTTGCGTGCACGTTATCCTTCTTTCATCTGCTCTGCAGTCTTTTTCACATTGATGCACACAGAGTTCTCTTCTCTTTCAGTGTTGTGGGGCTTTGGGAGCTGACTGTAGAACTGTGTCTGCTGAGGCCACGGGAGTGATTCTTGTAGCAGCCAACACTTGCAACCAAGGCTATAGACTCAGCTGCAGCAAGCTGCTTTTCTTGGTGTCCTCATTCAGCATCGCTCACCTTGGCGTGGGCTTCAGGGTGCTAGCTTGCCTTGGGCTTGTTTGGCAAAGACATGCCCAGTTCAGGCAGCCACCTGTGCTGAAATAGTTCATTTTGTAAGTGATTTTTCTGCAGTGCAGTGCATCCTCGTGTACTCTGGTTTTTTAACCTTTGCTATTCCTATGTCTCTAAAAAACCATCTGCAGTTAGGGTGCGAAATGTTATACCTTGATGTATCCTTTCAGGTGACAGCTCTGCTACCTGTCCCCCAACTTCTGAAGGGTGTGCACTTGCCACCCTTAGCCTTTTGTCTGGGTGAGTACTTGGTTTGATGTTGACAGGAAAGAATGCTCTGCTTTGCCTGCCATCTTAGAATAGCCTCTCTTCAAACCACAGACCTCTGTGGCCTTTCTTGTCATCAAAGAGCTCTTGTATTATCTCTTTGTTCCAGAGTCGGGGTCTCTGTTCCCTAGCAATCCTCTGATACGTTGCCTGTACCCAAGAGACTGGGTCATGGCAGAAGGAACATTCTGTTTTCTACCTGCCTGTAAACTTGGTGACATCTTGCTCTTCATACAGGCTGATGGGGCTCACTTCATGATCTTTCCCAGACTTAGTCTGGGTGGAGGAATTCCCAGGAGCTGCGTACATCTGATACCTGTGTGCTGGCAACCGGAGCTGGCGCTCTGGTATGCCATTCAGGCCACTTACTGGGAAGTCTATTGTAGGCTTGAGTACATAAGAGATCCCTGTCTTTCTAGTTTAGTCTACAGGTGTCACAGAGCTGCAGTCTTTCTGATTGGTAGCCAGCACTTTGTAAAAACAAACCACTTGAAGCTGGTATCTAGAGCCATGGCTTTTTACCAAAGGAGATTCTGCAGGTCAGCAGACTGGATGTTCTCCAGAGCGTTCAGAGGCTGTTGAGGAGAATGGTGGCTCTTTGAGGGTGGGTCACAAACAGTACACCTTTGCCCACTCCCCCCGGTTCCACAGAGCTTTGCTTCTGTTAGGCACGGTGTGACAGAGGCAATGAGACTGCTGGGCTCTTCCGAAGAGAAGTGGATGTCTGCCTACTGTCACAAAGATATCCTTAGCCAGAAGAGGACACATGCTGGAAGTGTTCTTAATTGCAGTTGCTTCTGAGCAAACTTTCTTCTAGCCTACAGTTGTAGACTGCCTTGCTCACCTTGTGTTCAGAAGTGATCTGTCTCTGGGAGATTCTGGTCTTTTCTTACATATAAAAGGAAGTGAGCGCGAGTGCACTGTGGTCAGGAGTCCTCCAGATGTGAAAGCTGTGGTTCCAGCGCAGGCTGGAATTAAAGCTGCCAGTGTTGCTGAAAATATTCCTGTAGTGCCCACCCAACTGGGACCATCAAAACTACGTAATCGGACCTGCTGGATGTGGTTGAGCTCAAGATTCTCTAGTTCTGCTGACTCCGCAGGAGCCAGAGGTGCTGTTCTCACATTTGGGCCCTCAAGTGGTGGTTGCTCTGGGGTCACTGACGATGTTAGGCCCATGTTTATTGCTCTGTGTAGTTATTTCTTATGGCTGGCTGGTATCTGAAAACGTTCTTGCATTTACTTAAAAGAAGCGAGGCAGTAATTCTCATGTGTTTAAGGAGTGCAGTGATTCAGGGCACTATGATCTGAGCTGTGATGCTGTCTCTGTCCCCAGCACTATTCTGGGCTGTGCTCCTGAAAGCTCCTCTTCCCTCTACTTCAAGCAAAAGGGAATTCTTCTGAACTGGGGCAAAACCCCAGGGAAAGGAAGCTGTAGTGTATTCTGCAAAGCATCCTTCTGTCTGCGGGGTGAGAAGAGCAGTGCCTGTGACTGTGGCGTTGGAAATGCCAGTACTTGTTCCTGTAACACTGGTTTAGCTGTGGGAGCAGCCTGTTTACCTGTATCACTCCTTGCTGCCACTTCATGTTCCAGAAGCACATGCGCTAACAGGACTGATCACTGCTTTTCTGTTCTGCATGTAATTCTGGATCACTCTTTCTCTTTTTTTCCCCCTTTTTTTTTCCCCTTTTTTTTTCCCCCTTTTTTTTTCCCCCTTTTTTTTTCCCCCTTTTTTTTTCCCCCTTTTTTTTTCCCCCTTTTTTTTTCCCCCTTTTTTTTTTCCCCCTTTTTTTTTCCCCCTTTTTTTTTCCCCCTTTTTTTTTCCCCCTTTTTTTTTCCCCCTTTTTTTTTCCCCCTTTTTTTTTCCCCCTTTTTTTTTTCCCCCTTTTTTTTTTCCCCCTTTTTTACTTTGTCGGCTTATTGGTGCCCAGTCTCTGAAGCATCAAGGTAAGGTGCTACATGATTCTATTTGCATCTTTTTTTTTTTTCTCCTTTTTTTTTCCTCCTTTTTTTCTTCCCTCCTTTTTTTCTTCCCTCCTTTTTTTTTTCCTCCTTTTTTTTTTCCTCCTTTTTTTTTTCTTCCTCCTTTTTTTTTTTTCCTCCTTTTTTTTTTTTTCCTCCTTTTTTTTTTTTTCCTCCTTTTTTTTTTTTCCTCCTTTTTTTTTTTCCCTAGAGCTACTTGTGCACTGCAGGAAGAAAATAGATCAATTTAGTAGTAGGGTATTACTGTTACTGTTGCACTGAATTTTGGGAAGAAGGATGAAATCTTTATTTGCTGGGAGTTATCTGTGGAACAAAGAGGGAGCAGGAATGGGGGAGGATTTCTCATACTGCTTAAATGCAAAAGCCATCCATAACCATTAATTTACTAACAGGTTTTTTCAGTGCCATAAAGTACAGGGTTAATAGATGTAAGGAGGAAGAGCATCAAATGAGTGGGGAGCTTTGGGGAACGGGTGATCAGGACAGGAGAAGCACTGACAGTTCCTAAAATGGTCATCCCAGAGACCGGAGGTTCCGGCTGCTTTCTGGAGCAGTGGTCAGACAACAACATTCCCTGTGAGAGGTCCAAGGTGTTTTCTGTGTGGCCTTCCAAAGGATCCACGTTTGGATCTGTGCATGTCTGCACTGCGTAAGGAGTGGACCTGCGAAGGGAGCACGTTGAAGGTGTTTTGCTGCGAGTGGTCGCAGGTTCTGCGCGCGTTCAGATGGGGCGCTGGATGCTGCCCCAATATCGCAGTGCTGGGAGGTGTCTTGTAATTCCCATTGGGAGCGTAAGAACCACTCACAGCTGGAAAGAGGTGATGGGTTTTGAATTAAAAATCCTTTCGGGCAGCTCTTGGAGTGCCCCAGCAGAACTGAGGCCTCAAACTGGAGTGTTTTGTAGTGTCTTTGGTGCCCCTGAGACATGGCCACGTAATCGGCGTGTGCTGAGTGAGGCCTCAGCAGAGACAGAGGGAAGTGTTGTGTTAGTGTATTTCCAAACAGTGCCTCCAGACACTGCTGGTGCATGGGCTTTCCTGTCTGCAACCTGCCTGACCTCTAGCACTCATTATGGATTTAATTGCAGTCTGTCTCTTTTCAGTTTCAGGCCAAGGTGCCAGGAGACTGAGTCTTACTTGGTATTAGCTCTGCTATTAAATTCTGTGGCCAGGTTTGTAAGTGTGGGTTCTGCTGCTAAGCTCCATGCCCAGGAGAAGCTGCTGGGATGTAGAGAAAGGTGGTTGTCGTCTGAAGGGGTGCTGAGGGCCTGCAGAGCACATGCAGAAAAAACAATTTCCAGCTGTGTAGCCTCAGAGTCAGCTGAAATTTTCTACTTGCTCAGAGGTGTCTTGTCTCCCTTTCCCAGTCTGGTTCTCAATTAGAAATGCCAATGCTCCGTATGTAAACTTATTTTAAAAGGTGACTGGAGGCAGGGCCAGGTTCTCAGTCCTGTCTATGTTTTGCTGTGATTCTGACCTAGCTGTCTCTATCAACGTTAAGTGCTTGCTGTTTCATCAACTCATTGACTTCTATCTTGTTTTACTTCCCGCTTACGGGCTGCTCTGTTACCAACAGTCTTTCATAGGATTTTTGCTAATGGTGAGCAAACTTCTCCGCTCCTGTGATGTGACTACCACTATATATGTAATGTACATTATTTGTGTGTATATATATATATTTATATATATATGTGTGTGTGTATCTATATTTGTAGCACACACAAACGTACACACTCTAATCTATTTATACTGTGTTCCCTTGCTATAAGGCTGGATGTAAAACTGTTTGGCTCTGGTGCATCCTCCTTTGAGACCCTGTGTTTGTGCTGGGATGCAGCCCCTTCCCGCTGCTCCCGGCCGAAGCCTTACAGAGAGGGAGCACTGCCGTGTGTGAAGTCTCCTGGTTGTTAGTTCTCCTCCTCTCCCATTCCCAGAGCCTGCTGGTCCCTGGGCCCCCGTGCATGCTGGCTCCTGCATGTCACGCCAAGCCCATGCGTCGTTCCCAGCTCTTCCCAGCTGAACTTTCCACGTCCATTAGGCTCTGTCCCGCTGCTGCTCTGCTAGACTCGGCTGGGCACCGAGCCCGGACTAGCCTTTGCTTTGTGCTTGGCTACCCAATTGCTTGCTTTAGTTTTAACTCCTTAGATGTTTTGTTTCCAAGATGAATGTTTCAGTGAATGTGTCTGGCTCCGGATGGCCAGGGAGACGTCCCACCCAAACAAGTCCCTCCTTGTAAAGTAAGGTTTACTCTTGCTGTTCCCCCAAAGCTCTGGTTTTGGGGAAACTCGTGCATATGAGGAGGGAGTTGGGCTGCCGGGGGCTAGAGAATAATTTGAATGCTGCAATTTGTAAACCTGTTAAATAGAACGCTGCGTTTACATTTAAAATAATTATATTTTTTTTTGCCATCAGGGTTGTCCTCAATGGTTAGTTTGTTTCTACCGTGTTGGGAACCTACCAGCTGTCAGCTGAAGTGGTGGAACGGGCTCTGTCCTCTTCCATGTGCAGGAGGAGGAGGTGGTGTCTGTCTGCATCGCCAGCAGAGCAGGGGCTCTCTCAAAAAGCTGAATCTGGGGGATTTTATGTAGCTGAGGGGGAAGCTGATGTAGTTGGGCTCATGATATTAGGAGGCCAGATCTCCCTGGGGATGGCTGCAGCCAGTGATCTTCAGGCTGGAGAAGCTGCTGCTGCTTGTGCTGAACAGCATCCATGGCCTTGAAATAGTGAGCTCCCTTAGCTGCTCTCTTGAGAACTGGTTTTAACAGTTCAGTTGTATCACTGTGTACTGCTCATATGAGAGTTGGAAACTGTTTAATCCTCAGATACTGGGCAGTGATTTTGGTTTGCAAACACTAAATATAGGGCATAAGGCTCCTGTTTCACTTGAGCATTGAGCTAGTGAGGTTGTGAGTGACACGCTTTCATAACTAATCTTATTTTAGTCATTACTTCACTCTCTTGGATTTTGTTACCTGATATGTAGAGACTTCTCATGCTGTTTTTCACATCCTTAACAGACACCTGGAGGCACTTAGTAGGTGATGTGGAAGTACAATAGGGGTTACTAGGATATCTTGGATCTGGCTTGTTTTGGTTTGGCTTTTTTTAGCAAGGCAAGTGTGGTTTAGAGAAAAAATAATGGATAGTTGAAATCAGCGAACATAGAAAGATCTGTCATAAAAATGGAAATTTTTTCTCACCCTTGTTAGCATTCATTTAGGAAGATTTAATATGACTTTATGTAGCTCTCCTTCTAGCAGTACAGTTTTATGTGTAGAGTCAAGCATGTCCTCTACCTAGGCAAACATTTGCAGTTGCTTAGAAACTTGGCAAAACTAAGGCAGAATTTCAGAAGCAGAGGAAGAGGTTTGTCTCTGACCATGGATGCTGCTGAGAATGAGATCAATGGTTTTGAGAGGAACTCTTTCCCAGAATGCTTCAGAGTGTAATGGAGGCTCCTTTCTTTTTTTCCCCCAAGGCTTTGTCTTGCCTTGGTCTGTGTTTGAGTCTGTACACCCAGTGGTGTAAAAGCCAGTCATAAAGTGAAGATTCTTCATATTTGGATTGTTCTTGAGAATCTCTGTTGAACAAACTGGGTGGAATAGTGTGAGGTTAATTTCTAACTGTAATAAGTTGACAAACATCTCATGATCAAGCTGCTGTTATGATTACTAGGCCTGGGTTTTGTGTACAAGCACACGCCTTGGGGCAGGAGGAGCAGTCATAGGTAAGTGACAATCAGTGGGTTTCTAATAGCTGGGCTTAGTGTCTGAAATTGCAGCTAAGACTGACTGAATGTGTGTGTGTGTTATGATTTACCCTGTGCTTTTCAGGGGAGGGTGTTGTTTCTTTTAAAGTCAGATTTAGTGGTAAGAATTGGTGTCCTTGGCTTTGCAAAGTCACCAGGTGGAACACGCACTTCACAGATTTACCTCCTCCTGTGCTGCGATGGTAATAAACTCTTGTTTTTATTTTGCAGAAGGTTTAAAGCTGGCTCTTGCTTCATGTGCTTGCCTTCCTTGCTCAGTTTACCTTCTGTGTGCTGCTGTGAGTTCTCATTCATGACAACCCCAGAAAACAATTATCTTTTAGACTGGTTGTTGTTTTCAATTACAGGGGATCTTCTAAAAAGGTTTCATTTTCCCAGTTTAGTGCTGCAGGTTTGAGAACTTGCCTTTTCTGTGGTCAGGTTTATTCTTTGGGTTGCATTGAAGGCACCTGCTGCTTCAGCTTTGCTGGATGGTGTTTTTTCTCTACCTTTCTGTGGATTTCTAGTATAGGTCAGGGGATATCTTATCCAGGTCTTCATCTACCCATTTTAGTATTAATAAGGCAGTTGCATATGTCTGCCTCTTTTGGGATCCTTTTCTGGAACATTTTGGAAGGCTTCCTCAAGCCAGTTCTTGAAACATCACTTCAATCCGAACTTAGCAAGTATTTTACACCAACAGGATGACATGCTTAGCGTTCTCCCGAATTGCTGAAGAGTTTTATTAGGAATGTTATGTGAGACTTTTTTGTAGAAGCAGAGGCAGTTGATGCAGGAGGTCTGTAGCGATCCTGTCCAGTCATGTGCTAGGTTAGGAAAGCTAAGCCCACTGTTTGGACCTGGCAGTGAAGGGCAGCAGCGAGGGTTCTACAGTAAACAGCAATAGGAAGGATAGCGAAAATGTTGGCCCTCTGTTCAACAGTGTGGAGATGACAAAGGACACAAAAAAGGCCAAGGTGTTGACTGCCTTTTTTGCCTCCGTCTTTATTGCTAAGGCTGCCCATCAGGAATCCCGGGCCCGTAAGACCAGACGGAAAGCCTGGAACAATGAAGAACTACCCTCGGTGGAGGAGGGTCAGGTTAGGAAACACGTAAAAAAAGATTGGACATGATGGGATGCACACACAAATGCTGAGGGGAATGGCTCGTGCTGTTCTAAGGCCGCTGTCCTTATCTTTGAAAGGTCATGGAGAATGGGAGATGTTCCTGAAGACTGAAAGAGCGCAAATGTCATTCCTGTCTCCAGCAAGAAAAGATCTGGGGAACCACAGACTGGTCAGCCTCACCTCAGTCCCTGGGAAGCTGATGGAGTAACTAACTCTGGAAACTATTTCCAAATACAAAACTGTGGTCAGGAGTTCTTGGCAAACCCAGTTGCCCTCTGCCATGAGGTGACTGGCCCAGTAGGCAGGGGGACAGCAATGGGTATTGTTTGCCTTAACCTCATAGATGAGCAGACAAAGCATGGGTTCAATCAGTGAACAGTGCAGTGGGTTGAAAACCAGTTGAATGTCCAGGCCCAAAAGGCTGTGACCAGCATCACGAAGTCTAATTGGAGGCACGTCACCAGTGGTGTACTCCAGGGTTAAACACTGGGGCCAGTCCTGTTTAACATCGTATTAACGACGTGGACAATCAGCAGTGTGTACCCTCAGCAGGTTCACAGATGATACAAACTGGGAGGAGTGGTGGTACGCCAGATGGGTGTGTTGCGATCCACAGGGAGCTGGATGGGCTGGAGAATTAAGCTGAGAGGAATCTCTTGAGGTTTATCAAAGAGAAATGTCCTGCAGCTGGGCAGGAATAACCCCATGTACCAGCATGGGGGACTGAGCTTTTGGAAACCAGCTTTGCAGAGAAGGAGCTTGGGGTCCTGGAAGGGACAGCAAGCTGACCAGAAGCCAGCAGTGTACCCTGACAACAAAGGTGGCCAACAACATCTTGGGCTGTGTTGGGAAGAGCGCTGCTGGCAGATTGAGGGAGGTGATCCTTCTTCTCTCCTCAGTACTGTTGACACATCTGGAGTGCTGTGTCTGTGTCTGAGCTGTGCACTACAAGAAAGGTATGGACTTAATGGAGTAAGTCCTGAACGGGGCCATGAAGACAATTAAGGGACTGGAACATCTGTCCGTAGGAGGAGAGGCTGAGAGAGCTGAAGCTGTTTAACCTGGGAGGAGAAAGCTCAGTGGAATCATGTCAACGTGTATAAGCACCTGATGGGAGAGAATGAAGAGGAGGGAGTCGGGCTCTTCTTTGTAGTGCCCACTGGCAGGACAATGCGATGGGCACAAATTGAAATATGTGAAGTTCCATCTAACACAAACAACCTTTTTGTACTCTGAGGATAGTCAAACCCTGGAAGAGATTGCACAGAGAAGTTGTGGAATCTTCCTCCCTGGACATACTTAAAACCGAATGGCACACAGTCCTGGGCGACCTGTGTGAGCAGGAGGTGAGCTGTGTTCTCAAAAGGTCCATTCCAACCCAGACAATTCTGTGATTTAGGCCTTGAGGGGCTGAGTGGTGTTTTCCCTCTGGCTTCTGCTTTCAGGGGGTGAGCTTTTCTGTTTATTAAGTCTTCCAAGGTCATTTGTGCAGCCTCACTGGTGTGTTGTGAAACAACGGTAATCGCAGAGATGTGAAGTCTGAAATTCAAGGAAATTTAAACTTGAATTTCTCAAACTAATTGCATTTTAATTGAATATGCATTTATACTGGTTTAGTCCAAACTTCTGTTAAGCAGAGCTGCTCAAAACATAAAATAATTTTCATAATCTTGTTTCTGGGGACTTTGTTTTCCAATGTTAGTCTGGGAGTACAAGATTCCCCAG